GCCAGACAAGAAATATCTTAGCCCACAGAAGAAATGGGAGCAGAAACAGCATCTCAGAGGGATCCTTTCTAGTTTGCTGGAATTAAGGCAAGGAAGGAGAGAAGGGCTTTCAGATTTGCATGGCTCTGTTACTGCAACCTTACAATAAAGTTAAGTATTTTGGTTACTTGCCTGAACTGCCTGGAAGAGCTGGCACTTGCTCATCCTAGATTAGTGCTGAGAATACTCTGGGTAGCCAAAAAACTCTTTCCCAGTAAAAAAATCTTTTTGAGTAGAAGTGTAAGATAGGAATAATCAATATGTTTATACTGTAATAGGCACTACATAACATTCTTTGGTCTTTTGGTTTGCTAATAATTGATTTTAATTTTGGACAGGAAAAAAATAATAGAAAGGTGCCACTTGCAGATTGGCTGAAAGATAAAGTGTTAATTTCTACCACTTTGTTTTCTAAGAATACCTTTGGCCCCAATTCTTAGGCAACGATATTACCATTGCTCTCTACTAAATGGATATTTTATGATTGGACATGCTTATGTGGGGGAGCCCTTTAGTGAATAGGCAAGCCCCTCCCTACTAGCAACAAGCATTGGGGACATGGGGTCAAACCTTAAAATTTGTCCAAGAGCCCTCAAACAATTGCATCTCCTTGGTTACCACAAACTCATCTGCATCAAACTTATTTTATAATATTTGGAAATACAAATGCTTGCCAATAGCTATATTTCTACCCTTTCTTTATAGGGGAGTGATTAATGTTTCTCAATATAAATCAGGCTTATGATATTTTAGTCTTCCACCTGCAAACAAGACTACACATTTCTCTCCAAATGTAGGTGGTGAGATTGTTAATTTTCTTTTCTTTAATTATCTCTTTCACTATTTCTCCTATTGTTCTTAGATTCTATGTTTGAATTTAAGACAATGGGTTTAGAGGCCCTTCTCACTATCCATCCATTTGTTCCACAATTGTTAGAAATGCTTTTCAGATTTGGGTTACAGCTCTAAAAATCTATGTTGACTAGAGAGGACACAAATTGCAATTCATCACATATCATGAACATCTGGGTAGGAAATATTGAATCAGAAAATAAAGTTGATGAATTTAAATTGATTATAAGTCACAAAGGCTTTCCTAGGTCAGACCATGCAGCACATCGAGGAAATAAAATTCATCTGCAGGTACTAAACCACAGAAACTCAGATTCAGCACTTTTTCTTGGATAGCTCCCTTTGCAAAAAAACTGACCAGCCCAAGGTTTGTTTTTTTAATTTGTCAATTGCTTACAAGATAATAGGTATAAGTAAAAACATAGTTATGAATACATAGATACATATAAGAAAAATTAAAAAAAAATATAAAAGAAACAATAGGACAGGGATGGTAGACACGTTGGTGTGCTTATGCACACAGGCCTCTTAGGAAAGGGGTGAGGTCAATAGTAGACAGTCTAAGGTTAAGTTTTTAGGGTTTGGGGAAAAAAAACCACAGTGTCAGGTAGAGTATTCAGGACATTGACCACTCTGTTGCTGAAGTCGTATTTCCTGCAATCAAGTTTGGTGCAATTAACCTTGAGTTTGGATCTATTGTTTGCTATTGTGTTGTTATAGTTGAAGCTGAAGTATTCATTGACAGGTAGGACATTGCAATGTATGATTTTATATACTATACTTAGATCAGACTGAAGGCAGTGTAGTTCTAGGTTTTCTAGGTCTAGAATTTCAAGTCTGGTGGTGTAAGGTATTCTGTAATGAATAGAGGAGTGGAGAACTCTTCTTGTGAAATATTTCTGGATTTTCTCAACTGTGTTAATATCAGATACATAATGTGGGTTCCAGACTGATGAGTTATATTCGAGTATTGGTCTAGCAAATGTTTTGTATGCTCTAGTTATTAGTGTGATATTACCAGAGAAAAAGCTACGCAGGATTAGGTTAACAATTCTTAACACCTTTTTGGCTATGTAGTTAGGGAGATGAGTACTCCAAGTTCCTTGACAGAGTTTGGATCATCAACAAGGTCTTGACTATTCAGCCTGTAGTTTAGTTTCTGTTTTTTTTGCCAATATGTAGGACAGAGCATTTATTTGTTGAGATTTGAAGTTGCCATTTGTTTGACCATTCTGATACATAGTCAAGGTCTTTTTGAAGGGTCGCAGTGTTGTCTGTGGTGTTGAATAGCTTTACATCATCAGCGAAGAGAATGCAGTTGCTCTTGATATGATCACAGAGGTCATTTATGTAGAGTATGAAAAAAAGTTGGTCCTAGAACACTGCCTTGGGGGACATCACTGTTGACAGTTATAAACATTCATCCTTTTTAAACAACTAACAACATGACTTTTTCAAATGTTTAAACACTTTATTCATTATGCTCTATATCAGGGGTCTCCAACCTTGGCAACTTTAAGACTTGTGGACTTGGAGCAAAGCTGGCTGAGGAATTCTGGGAGTTGAAGTGCACAAGTCTTAAAGTTGCCCAGGTTGGAGAGATCCCTGCTCTAGAGGACACCCAAGTACAGCAGGTGTGTTACTATGAACCCACTGGCCATGTAGTTAGGAAAGCAGCACCTTACTAGGATTAAGTATTAATGCCATCAACATACCCTGGGGCCTTTAAGGATTAATGAAAATGTATAGTACAGGTAGTTCTCGACTTACAACAGTTCATTTGGTGACAGTTCTATGTTACAACACTGAAAAAAGTGACTTACCACCATTTTTCATACTTATGTCCATTGCAGCCTTCCCATGATCATGTGATTAAAATTCACACACTTGGTAACTGGTTCATATTTATGACGGTTGCAGTGTCCCAGAGTCATATGATCACCTTTTGTGACCTTCTGACAAGCAAAGTCAATGGCGAAGCTAGATCCACTTAACAACCATGTTACTAACTTAACAATTGCAGTGATTCGCTTAACAACTGCAGCAAGAATGGTTGCAAAATTGTTTTGCTTATCAATAGACATTTTGGGTTCAACTGTGGTCATAATTCGAGGACCACCTGTATGGGTACATGTAGGGGGGGAAGAATATTTCCATAGGGAGAGAGGAGAATTTATAGCCCATCTTCTAGCAGCAGAAAAGCAGGTGAAGAATAAGAAAGTTGGAAGCTGACCATGAATAGAGGCAAGATTCCCTTGTTCAATAGGGAATGAAGAAGGGTTAATTTTATTAGATTACCTAATTTTTTTATACAAAACCTATGCCATATTAACTTATTTGTCTTTTTTAAAAAAAAATTCCTGTTATGCTAACTTATTTGCTTGCCCATGTACCACAAGGCCCTCTGTGCATTCGAGAGGATTGGTAGGAGGGACATGCCCCGTTTCACAAACAGATTTTTTTAAAGTACCACTCATACTACCTAAGCTTTGCCATCATATCCTATGAAATGAATGTGTAATTCTAATATTTTCTGCCATATCTGTGCAAATAAGCAAATTTAAGAAAGTAAATGAGCCATGGTGGTGCAGTGGTTAGAATGCAGGCTACTTCTGCTGGTTGCTGGTTGCCTGCAGTTTGGCAGTTGAAATCTCACCAGGCTCAAGGTTGACTCAGCCTACCATCCTTCTGAGGTGGGTAAAATGAGGACCCAGCATATTGGGGGACAATATGCTGACTCTGTAAACCTCTTAAGGGGGCTGTAATGCACTGTAAAGCAGTACATAAGTCTAAGTGCTCTTGCTAAAGATCAGCAGATTAATATGTTGATTTCATAGTAAGGCTAAAAAGATAATTTAGTGATGATAATATTATCCATTGAGAACCAATGAGACACTGTGATTATGATGTTGGATTAGGGCTGGTGAAAGTCTCTCTTTAGTCATGGGAATTCACTCAGTCTCAGTTCAACCTACCATGCAGAATCCTTGTGGTAGGAATAAAATGAAAGGAGATTCTTAGATAAGACACATTTTGTTCCTGGGGAAGAGGCAGAATATAAATCTAACAAATAAAATTGAATTCATTAATGGGACAAACCATAAATCAAATAAGAGATAACAGTTATCTCATTCAAAAGTAACATCTTATAATTCTTCAGTAATGGTGCCTCCAGGTTTTAAGAAAAATATTTCAAATGATAGAAGTTAAGCCATTTAAAAGAGAGGGGAGCACTTTGAACTTTATGCCGTGCTATAATAGACTTTTGATAATTTGTTTATATAATTGTTTATATAATTTATATAATTATTTTTTGGCATGAACCACTTATGCAGAATTAATGCTTGTCTGACTGTGAAATTCGGCAGGCAGGGCATTGGTATCAAATATAAATTTTATCCCAGCCAAATTGGGATATTTCCACATTACCTCTAGATAGTCTGAGATCAATTCCCAACACATTTAGCCAATGTGGATTGGATAACGCTATTCTAAGTCAGTGGTGTAAAATTAAATGGCAACTTTTCCACAGAATGTGTTTCAAACATATTAACAGAAGCATGGTTTGGGATTTAACACAAGGTAATTCTCTGGCCATTTCCTGTTAAAATATCCTGGTTTCCTGTCTGAATTTATTCAAATGAAAAAGGTATTGAACAGTCAACAATACAAACCAAATCATAAATATATGCTAACATATGCTGTTAGAATTTTTTTCTATGAATATGACTATGAGTATTCTGAATATTTTTCTGATTCTTCTGTGGTATCTATAATTACATCTTTAATTTTATTTTCCAGATTTAATTTGTCTCTTGTTTTATTTAATTTCTTATTGCTTGTTTCCAATCAACTAGATCAGTTCCTATTTCTCCTTTCCTGTTTTTCATAATTTTCACTTTAAAGAATTTTCAGGGAAAAAATTCAACAGAATAAATTGTTAATTAATTATCTGCCTACCTCCAATGGGTTACGGTTGCAAAGGCAATGAGTTGTAATCCAGCGTTGAATTCCAGTGTTATTTAATTTAACCGACAGTAAGGAATGATAAGAGCATTTTCAACAGTATATTGAAAACCACATATCGCCTACTTAAATATATTCATTTGAAAAAAGTTAAAAGAGAAATTAGATATTTTAAACAAGTTATCCTGGGTCAGTATGTATATTACCAATTCTATGCTAGAATGCATCTATATTATGCAAAATTAAATCTAACAAATCTTTGAGTAGAAATAGTTGAAGAAGGAAGCATTTGACTAACATAGTTATGGTACAGATAAACCAATTATTTCTGAGTTTAACCTCACCTAATTACTATCTAGAAGAAAATGTGGTAATCATTATATTTTTCAAGGGCAGAACCTATGAATTATGTGAGATCCACTTTGGACAAACATAGGTTGGTGGAAATTGACTTGTTGGAGACCCAGTACACTTTAGACTGTATGTATCTATTCTCTCCATGCAGGTCCCTTGCATTAGGCCAGCAATATACATCCCTGGGCTCCCAACCAATTCTCTGTGGTTCCATTCCTGGCTTAGTGCCTAAGCAGCTTCGCTTCTGCCGAAACTACATTGAGATCATGCCTAGTGTGGCTGAAGGTGTGAAGTTGGGAATTCAAGAGTGCCAACATCAGTTCCGGGGGAGACGTTGGAATTGCACAACCATTGATGACAGCTTGGCTATTTTTGGGCCTGTTCTAGATAAAGGTATAACACAGGGTATGCTGGGGGTGGGGGAAGAAGAACATTAGGTTATATGTTTTACATGCTGGAAGCATAGTTTCTGTGTTTTCCAAGTATTAGAAATATTGTAGGGTCAGGACTGAAAAAGACTCTGACATTTGGAGAATCAATTCCACCGAAGTAAAAAATGGTTAGATAAGCATAAGAACACCTTCCCCCCCAATTACTCACATATTGTGATTAGCCATAGTTGACTTGGTTGAATAAGCCATTGTGATTTAATTAATTCTGCATGTTAAATCACAAATATTGGCTTGTAAGCCACAAATGGCTTAATACATAATATACTAAAACCAAAGCATTGTATGACATAGTGTAATTTATGAACTCAGACTCTTTTAAAATAGCACTAGTACTTAGACTTATGTACTGCTCCACGGTGCTTTACAGACCTCTCTAAGTGGTTTACAGAGTCAGCATATTGCCCCCAACAAACTGAGTCCTCATTTTACCGAACTCGGAAGAAGACTGAATCAGCTTTGAGCTGGTGAGACCCAAACTGTCAAACTGCTGGCAGCCGGTGATCAGCAGAAGTAGCCTGCAGTACTGCACTCTAACCACTGTGCCATCTTGGCACTTAAAATAGTTGCATATGTTCATGCTTAGGTCATACTAAAGTCTTAATATGAATTCTATAAATTGAATTCTAATGCTCCATGTGATTTCAGTTCCATATTGTAGTAAATTATACTCCTGAACAAATTAAAGAAAACATATAAGTCAGAAAAACAATTATTAAGAGGACGGTAACATATTCCCAAATATATTTTCAAAGGGAGAAAGAGAAGCCTATTATTCAGTTATTGCACAACCAGAGCCAAGTCTCTCAAAGTAAGTGCAAGTCATAACTCCAAGGTTTCTTTCGTTTGTTTGTTTCTTTTCTTTTCTACAGTGTTTATCTACATTTCCCAAGTGGGAAGCGAGATATCTTAAAATAAAATTGTCCTACTTGTAAGAACTGACCATTTTGTCGGAACTTCATTTCACTTCAGTTGTATTCCAGCAGTTCAAAGAAAATGAATAGAATTGCAAGGCCCAAAGAATGAGGGAATATTATTTTGGCTAAAATTTCTGAGTTTACTGAATATGTTTTCTTCAGACAACTGAGAAAATTACTGAAAAAGGTGTTTTTTTTTTTTAAAAAAAGTGGGATTTTAACACAGAAATTGATCACGACCTAGAACACTATAATGCATTATATATAAAGCAATGGAAAAGATAGCAATAATTTTTATAGACATAGAAATACCTGGGGTGGGTAGAAGAACAGAGGAAAAAGACCTGGAAAAATGTAAACTATAGAGCTCTGATGATAGAAATGGGTAAATTCACTTAATTAAGCAAATGTTTATGACAACTAAATATTTTGGTTTTATCAATTGTGAATTAAAAAAAATATTTTGAATGAGCACACATTACATTTTATGATGATACTTGGATAATTCTTATGTTCCTGGCTGGAACTCAAATTCCAAATATGTGATTCTCTTTGTTAGTTCTTTGAATAAAATCTATCTCGACTTTCAATCACTAAATAAACATATTCATATTAGTTTTTTTGGCAAAATCATGTAAGCACTAAGTACTTACATTTTTTCAGAAGCATTATTAAATGATTTACTTGTTTACACGTACACCACCAACTCAGTGTTTTGACTTCTGGCGACTGCTTAGGGAAATTTTCTGGGTAAGCTTTTCCCCCAAATGGCTTGCCATTTCCTCCTTCCTAGATGAAGAGTGAGTGACTGGACCAACCAGCTGGCTTTGGGCCTAAGATGGGACTAAAATGCACAATCTCCCAGTTTCTAGGCCAATGCCTTAACCATTACAACAAAATGGCTGTCAAGTCCATTCATTTCAAACATTTAAAAAACAGAACTTCTATAGAATAATCACATCCAGGAACTATTATGCATAACATCATTATGTGAATGTTGCTATTTACAAGATCTGAGGTAGTAAATTAACTATATTTAATAAACATACATTACTTGTTTTGTTTTGGCTGAATGAATAAGGAGCTTCAATTTAGTTACATTCTTTTCAGTAAGACAAGGGTCCATCTGATCTGGAAAGCAATGCAGTAAGAATTATTCTGTGCTTTGAATCCAGAAAGAAAAGGCTGAGCAATGCGTCCTCCTTAGTACACTAATAGCTGATTGGCATCTAAGAACTGACTGTTTGGATGACTTGCTTTTCACTAAAAGGGTAAATTTATTTTAGTGTGGAGGTGCAGATTAATATGCATATATTTCTCAGTGCAATAAAGTTATGTTGATATAACTAAACAGCACAAATCCTTGAATGTACATGTGACTTATTTTTCCTGTGTGATGATTTGTTTTGTATAGGGCAACCGGCAAATATGTGAGCCCTACACAAGATTCTCTCCTCAGAAAATGCTCAGCCTAAGAAAATAAAAAGACAGGTGAAAGGGTTGAGGTGTGGGTGGGGTGTGTAAAAAAAAAAAACAAACCTTGGGTCATATGGTATGCAGGGAAGTTAAAATGTGTAACCTATTTTTACAGATAATTGTTTTAGAATTCCATAGCAAATTGAGGAAAGGAGCCTGCCCACATTTCTGTGGAACAAATAAGTACAACAAAACCTGTATCTCGAGGGCCTCTGTATTTTGAGGAGACTGCTTGGCTTTGCAGGCTGCAAATGGCCTACAGCATTGTGATAACCCAGCAGTGTTTTTCAGCTGTGACACAGATGACAAATTTGCATTTAAAGAGGAGCTGGGATCTAAATGGCAGAGATTTCAAGGCAGCACAGTCGGTGGGGAGGGAGAGAAAATGAGCTTATGGGCAAGAGAAAAGAGCTAAGCTGCAATCCCCACTGTGCACCAGAGCAAGGGATATCATTCCTGGCCTCGAACTGCTTCACAACCCTGCACCATTCACACGCCCTTTGGCCACTTAGAGCTCAGGAGGGGAGAAACAGCATTAGAGGACTCAATAGAGATTTCCGAGCCTGACTGGTGGGCTCTCAGGGGGATGGCAGGGCAGGGTGAGCACAGGCCCCGTTGCCAAGGGGTGGCCGCAGAGAATGCCAGCATGGGCACCATCGCGCCTGGCGGAAACATTCCACATTATGTGGGTAATACAGTGTGACACTCCACAAACAATGGCAAATCGAGTGTCCCAGCAGGTAACAGGGTCTGGATAGGAGGCTATGACAGTGAAGTTCTGTCAAGAGTCCCTAATCCACCCAAGCTCGGCTCCCCCCTTGCCCCCTTGATGCCTCTGAGAACTTCGGTTTTTATCACTGAGAAACCTCTCCCAGCCATCACTAGCCCCCTCTTCCCATCTAAGAGAGAATTCCAGGGTATAATTGACAGGGGGGCAGTGGGATGGGGGTTGAGCCTTCCATATACACAGGCTCCAGGACAGTTTTGAATTACCCACTCTGGGTGATTCCCACTCTGAAGATAGCATCCCAGATCCAGTTACTCTGGTTCATTCCCAATCCTAGAGCTCTGCTTAATGAAAAACAGAGTCACATTCTCCCATTACTCTTCCTTTTCAGAGCAGAAGAACCATTTACCTCACTGGAGCCTCCCCTTGGCATTGCTGCATTATTTATTGTCCTGTTCAAACCTTCATTGAGAACCATTATTTAAATTATAAATGTCACTTTTCAACACTTATTTTAAAAACTAATCTCAAAGGGCCAGAAGACTCTTCAAAACCAAGTCAGAATGGGCAGAATGATAGCCATTGTCTTCTCCTTTTTCTTCTCTTCCCCTTTTAAAGGGGTGCTTTTCTGATTTATGACTTGGGCTCCGGCTTAATGCAATGTGTCAAGTCAACTCAGCTAATACTTTATTAAAATTAATGAAATGACAAAGCCAGACAAAAATATAAACGCAACGTCTACACACACATTTAACGTTGGGATGTAAATGACTGATCCAGTTATTTGCAGAAGACTGTTTATTGTAATCAACTATGAATCTGTTTTGCACAGAACATATTCACTGGGTCATCTTACCCATATACTAACCTTGGTGCTCTGTTATAATACCATCTTTGTTACATAAGAGCTTCAATTGGTCCAGGAAAAAAGTAATTTTCATGTCTGAAATAAGCAAGACAATTGCTACATTCTGTTCAATAGCAATGGCTGTGAGGATCACTTCAGTGTAATGCTGAACTTAACCTAGGACTTCTGGTGCTATATAGTTATAAATTGAATTACTTTATCTTTTAATTGTTCATATTCCCATATTTTTGTTATACCATGGAATGGTTTTGATCATTGAGTGTTAGTAAATAAATTGGGTCTTTCTACCCTCTCTTTTGCAGCCACCCGAGAATCAGCTTTTGTGCATGCCATTGCCTCTGCTGGTGTGGCATTTGCTGTCACACGCTCATGTGCTGAAGGTACTTCCACCATTTGTGGCTGTGACTCACACCATAAGGGACCACCTGGTGAAGGATGGAAATGGGGAGGCTGCAGTGAAGATGCTGACTTTGGGGTACTTGTCTCACGAGAGTTTGCAGATGCCCGAGAAAACCGTCCAGATGCTCGCTCTGCCATGAACAGGCACAATAATGAAGCTGGAAGAACAGTGAGTGGCTCCCCTCTTTATATTCTTCTGAAAAAAATCCTTTTTGCCCTGCATTTCTGGGGATTCATTGCTGGAAAGTTGGCTAGCCCAAGAACCCAAATCTCAGCAGCCCTCTGATCCAGACTAAAGCACTGTTGATGGCTTCATTCAATGGACAGATAGAAACTTCTTCCTCTTTTCTCCTTATCAGCTGCAGCCACTCAAGGCTTGTCATTCAATCATCTTCTTCCCCTTGTCACCATGGCTCATGGCCCATCAAGAAACAGAGAGAAAACACATAAAACCCTCTGCCCTGAGGGCAACTGTATGCCCATAGTGCTTTCTAAGTAGTAGTATTATCTGGAGATTAGGAAAAAGAAGGTAGATAGATGTGTATTTGATGGCTCAGGCAAGAGGACTATCCAGTTAAAGAGATCAATTACATTTTGGCTGATCCAAATTCCTGAGGCATTTGCTTAAACTATCATGATAAAAGAATGATTGCCTGCATTTCCAGGCAGGTTGTAGTGACTACAATTTCCATCACCCCTTGTCAACACAGCCATGCTGTCTGATGAAGATTTGAGTTTTAACACTTCTAGACGGCATGTACTTCGAGAAGGATGCATTTTTTATTATGCTCCTAAATTCATACTATCCCAATTCATTATAAATTCTTAAAATAACACAGTTCTGTTTAAGAACTATGCAATATCCTAACAGTATGATTAACAATCATCGGTTAAACTAAAGTTACTTCTCTAGAAGAAAGGACAGGTATGTTTGTCTTTTTTATTGGCAGGTCAAAAGGCTATAAGGACAAAATTGTTCTAATGAAAATTGTATAGAAGAAATCCTAAAAGCTTGACTCGCCTAATTTTTTTGTTTTCTTTTGCAGACTATCTTGGATCACATGCATTTAAAATGCAAATGCCATGGCTTGTCTGGCAGCTGTGAGGTTAAAACATGCTGGTGGGCCCAGCCAGACTTCCGGGCGATTGGTGACTACTTGAAGGACAAGTATGACAGTGCTTCAGAGATGGTGGTAGAGAAGCATCGGGAATCCCGTGGTTGGGTGGAGACACTGCGTGCCAAGTATGCCCTCTTTAAGCCACCAACAGAGCGTGACTTGGTCTATTATGAGAATTCACCCAATTTCTGTGAACCCAACCCTGAGACTGGGTCATTTGGTACAAGGGACAGGATGTGCAATGTGACCTCACATGGGATTGATGGGTGTGATTTACTCTGCTGTGGCCGTGGCCATAACACTAGGACAGAGAAAAGGAAAGAGAAATGCCATTGCATCTTCCACTGGTGCTGTTATGTCAGCTGCCAGGAATGCATTCGTGTTTATGATGTTCATACCTGCAAATAAAAAAAAAGGTATGTGTGGGGTAAAGGATTACCTAGAGCAAAATAGATATTTTGTTGTTGTTGCAATAGTAGGTAAAGAGTATGAGAGGGAAAGTTTCCAGTTTGAAGTTCACCTCCATCCTAAGCAATCTTAAATAGCAGGCAGTATGGACATGTCTCACACATGAAACATTTGTGAAGATTCCTGTGCTGTCATTATATGAAATGCCCAGGAAATACAAAATGCTCTGTAAGAGCGCTCATTATTAAATAAAATCTTGCATGTATTTTAATGCAATGAATTTAGAACTTTTCCTAAGTTAAGGCTATAAGAAGACTTCCTTCCTCATTTTTTTTTTAAAAATAGCTACTATTTCTTATACACAAAGTGGCACCCCAAATGTAATCTTCCTAGGAAAGTTGCTCAGTAGAAGACAGAGGACACTGGAACATGGATATGTCACTATCCGAATAAACCTTAAGAACAGAGAATAACATGCAAGAGGGCAGCAAACAAGGCATAAGAGGCTGAATCATATGGGGAAAACAAATAAAGTGGTGTGTGAAATACAGAAGGAAATAATTTTTTGAATACTGGAAAAAAATATTTAGGAAAACACATTCCAGATATAAACACTTCTTAATTAGATTGACAATGATACAGATACAACAGCTTTCTCAACACTTATCACCTTTCAGATGTGCTTGGCCATAAGCACCATAATTTCAATTCAGCACTTGTGCTATCTGGAACTTTTAAGTCTGGAACTCTTCAGTGTTGGGGGAAACTGAATTATGAGCAAAAGGACAGCACAGAAAGCTGTTCTTCTACAGAGTTATCAAAATTGGGGTCCTATCACTATTAAATTTCCAGGCGTTTGGAGTAGACCTAAATGGCAAATTGACTTTAAACCATTTATTTCATGAGAAATGAAGTTAGAAGGGTGGAGACTTATTAAATGTGTAAAGTCATAAATCAAACTCAATAAGTTCTCTGAAAAACTTAAATACCTGCCCAATATTTTATGCTACTTTAGTTTGTCATAATAAGCATTTTAACGTATTACATTTTTGGTTTTGAACAATGGACCAACACAGCACAGATTATTAGAGAACATTTGAATGAACATATATGCTTGCAAGTGCAATATGCTGCTTCCATTCAAAGTGTGAAATACTCTTAACACAATAGGTCACAATTGGATTGAATGCAAACTCCTTCTTGAAAACAATCCAGCCAGACTTCTTCAGATAGTCTACTTAGCAACATCTGCATTTCTTCTTGAACAGGTTGCATTATGGCGGCTGACAATGAGCTCTGAAGTTCCTGAGGTAATGTTCCCAATATTTAAAGGTTATTTGTTTTGCACATATGAGAATATATTTGTTTAAAAATCCCTAAGAAAGGAGTAAAGATGTTGCAGCTGTGACAGACACTCATTGTAACTATTCATGGTAGTAAATGATGTTCAAAATGCAGAGGAGTAAGAGCCAGGCTCAAAAAATGTGAAAGGAAGAAACTCAAACGATAGCAGGTAGTTCTTCCTAAATAAGTGCAGTTATTTTATGAATAATTTAATGTGAATCTTCCTTCCATTTCCAAATACATACCCTGCCCTATAATGTTTTTTTTAATAGGCAACATAGCTTGGATTTTGGAGTTGAAATGTTAGAGTGACAGCATTTCAATTTTTTTCACAAGTTTTTGCTTAGTACAACTTTTAGTTCTTTGACCAAAATACAGAAACACATGCCATGTTTAACATACACTAACATATATGCATACCCGCACACTTTCAAACATTAGAGTCCCAGAATATATAAATAGAGACTAGGGCAGGGGTGTCAAACTCAAGGCAACCCTGAAAACAGCAAAGACCGGCTCATGGTGCCAACTCCATTTTCACTGACAGAGGGTTACAGGAAGCTGTCACAGCTGAAAATGGAGCTTGGGAGCCCGTTTTTGCTGGCAGAGTGTTTGGGCCGCCACAGGTGCCCCGTAAACAAGTGATGCTAAGCTGGTGATGCCCACCCAGGCCCCCATAAGTCAAACACAACCCTAATGTGGCCCTCAGTGAAATTGAGTTTGACACCCCTGGACTAGAGGAAGGGAAATTGTGACTTTGAAATACCAGCAGCCATCTCCTAAATCTAAATTTCTACTTCTAAAGTTTCTGCTTGAAAATGTTGAATTAGACTGAATTAATAGAAGAAAGAATTAAGATTGGCAATCAGTCCATTGTGGCAGGTTCTTTTTGTTCTGTTTTAACCAACAAAGCTAATGATCATTCTTGTTTCTCCCTCCAATGATTCAAGTGAGCAATTCTCTCTCCTCATTCAAGGACCAAGTATTTGTCTCCATAGACACTAAGAATGTCATGGTTCCTGGAGAACAATAAACATATTCAGACAATGTTGATACTTCTTCCCCTTTTATCTTTTTTACAGACCTACATGTTTCTGGATACCTAGAGGATATTATTAACTATCTTTTGGGGAGTGTTCTAATCCTTTACATAGAGACTTGTATCTGCTCCTCCTTATCAATACTCCTCCTTTCCCACTGAATAGATTTAAGTGCTGCTGTTGACTTAGGACATATTTTTCTTAAAATGATGCTCTCCCTGAAATTTTAATAATTTTAAGTTTTTATTATTTTGATCTTTCTCACACAAATAATTTTGCTTCTGGCTCCTTCCAAAATACTGCAGTAGTACCACTAAGTCAACCCATCTAAACTTGAATCAGTGATCTGAACTCAACTGACAAAGGTGAGGATGATTGTTGCTAATAAGAGTAGATTTTATACTTATAAGGTGTTCCAAAATATTTGAGATATGTAATTAGCATCTACTTGGTATTAGTTTCTTTTCTTGTGTTCCAAACTAATACACATCCTTGCTTCAATGGAATTTGCCATTTACACCCCTTGTGCATAATGCTGTTTTCTTAAACTGCCTCAAAATGTCCCACTTTGTATCCCAGAGATGTGAGAACTTAATTCTAAATGAAAAATTTGAAATGGATTAGTACTGAACTCCCCCCCGCCCATTTTTTTGAAATAGCACATGTTATGGGTAAATATGGTTTACCTAATCTTATATAACTATAGTATAGAGATAGATCAATAATAATCAACATTCATATTAATAAGGTAACAAAATTCAAATCCTGAGAAGAGGAACTAATGTTAGTCAGTTTTGACATCACTGAGCATAGTGAGCATAGTGAAAACATTCTATCATCAAATGGAAATATATTCTACTAGAAAAGCAGGAACAAGCTTATGATCAACTCAGTCTGCTTTTAATCTCTTAGAGCAGGGGTGTCACTCACGTTGTTACAGCTGCATCATGTGATGTATTGGGACTTCCCCCCCCCTTCGCTACACTGGGCATGGTCAGCATGTGATGCATCCAGCCCGTGGGCCAGGAATTAGACAGTCATGTCTTAGAGTAACTTAAAATGTACCTTTTGAGGAGGAAGGAATATTAAGTATGTTTGCCACTTTGAGTTAGTCTTAAAAATTATTGGTGGACTATAAATAAAAATAATTAAATAGGGAAATAATTTGTCACTGCTCTTTTCCGGATTTTTTTTTAACCTTCCAAATTTAGCTTACAGCAGTAATATTTTCTGATAATTCCTATCCTATTCTGATCATTTTTTTGAAATCAGCCAAATTCAGCGAGTTACATCATCTAACTTCAATAGGTCTAAGAAACCTCTAATTTTAAACATTTGTAGAAGGAGTGGAGTAGTACTATGCATTCCAGTTAGTTATATATTCTAGTCATCATGCAGGAAACACTGAAAATTGGTTTGAAAATGCACTTGCTACATTTCAAGGGAAATATTTTCCTTTTTTGTGTTAAATTTAGAATTTTGCTTGCTATCATATTGAAACCTGACTTAAAAGTAAGGAAGTTACTTCAAAAAGTATACATTCCTTATTAGACTCCATTTTTTTCTTGCTGTAGATATTCTAGAATTAAAAGTGAGTATATAGTTATAAGAAAGCCTCACAGTCTATGCTTCCTTTGCCCTCAACCTGCTGCATCCAAAGTTCTTTATTAAGCAGAAGAGATTTCCCACAGCTTAGTGCTCCTTTAAAGGAGTTGGATCACAATTCCCAAATTTTTTAAACATCTCAGCTTAATAGATAGAGATCATGAGAGCTACCAAACACATCTAGAAGAACACCAGGGGAAAAGCAGCTCTAGAGGGTCTTCATCTTTTTTTTTTTTTTGTATTCTGAAAATGCTGTTTTTATAATTATTTATTATACAATGTATATAGCTTTGAGTTAACTAAGATTATATATTACATAAATATATATAGATAGATATATTTGAAGAAAAATATATTTCATCTTTCCTTGGTTCTCATGTCAATAAAGGTACAAAGGCACTTAAAACAATATTTTGAATATTTTCATATTGTTCTTATGTGGGAGGTGTGGATATAATCAACTACTATGTAAAGGAGGTGTTGCTGCCTGTGATTTCTAAAAACAGTAGCATACTATAATTTTTCTGGGTTATAAAAAGAGATCTGAGAAAATGCAGTTGGAATCCACAAAGTACAGCAGAAAGAAATCACAATCAAAGATTTTTGCAATTTAAGTGTAAGTGCCTTCCCATTCTTTTTTAATGCTAAGAATTTTAGCAGGCATATATAGTAGAGATACTAGGACTTCAGGATTGGCCCAAATTTTAGATAGGGTAAGCTGAGAGCAAACATAAAATTCCTAACTCCTAACTTTTGTATCTCAGTAAACTTAGTCGTGAAAACATACTCACAGTCCAGTGAGGCCCAATCAATTTTAGTCAGACGTTAAACTCTGTAAATTTTTTTGTTCTCTCCCAACTATCACAGGTTTAATGTATCCTTCAATCCATAAGAGTCAGTGATTGCTGGAGAAACCTTGTTCCTTTGAAATGAGCACTTTTTTTGCAGATCTTTCAGGAGAACTAATTTACTCATCCCATCATTTCAACTCAGAAACCATCAGTACATTTTAAACATATGTGCCTTTTTATTGCATCCTGCATTTTAACATACAATCAATCAATCAATCAATCAAATATATATCTTTGTTTTCTGAGGTTCTCGCGGGTATTTGTATGTGGATCTTTGGTTGTTCGGGTTTTCTCCCGCGTAAGATTCAAAGTATCTAGGCATCGTTTCGATGAAGTCTCATTCATCATCTTCAGGCTTCTGTCTTCGGCTCTGTGCTTCTCATCTTTCGACTTCATCGAAACGTTGCCTAGATACTTCGAATCTTACACAGGAGAAAACCCGAACAACCAAAGATCCA